GTCGTTGATGAGGTGGTGGTTGTGCTCGTTGAGCCCACAGTGCAGGGTGACGCAGTCGCTGTGGAAGAGCAGGTCCTGCAGGGTGCTGACCCGCTGCAGCCCCAGCGCGCGCTCGATGCCGTCCGACAGGTACGGGTCGTAGAAGAGCACGTTGAAGCCGAAGGCCTTGGCCCGCAGTGCCACCGCCTGGCCCACGCGACCTGCGGAGGGGACAGTCAGCACGCGCGCCGGGCTCTGCACCTGCCCACCGGGGCCAGCACAGGCGTGCAGCAGCGTGCGGGGGGGACAGCTCCACGCACACCTGGAGACGGCATGCTGTCCTCCTGGGGGCACCGTGACTCAGAGGGCCAGCAGGGGACACGTTCTCGGGTGCTCGGCCGTCACTGCGCTACATTCCCGGAGCCACTGCGGTCCTGAGTGACCCACACCGGACCGGCAGGCGGCACGACCTCGGGTGCTCGGCCGTCACCAGCCTGATCGCTGTCACACACAGGTGAGCCCCAGCTGACCCGTGTACCCTCCATGGGGAGAAGACCAGGCCAACCACGTGCCTCTGTGGGGTGAGACGACCCCAAGGGTCCCACGTCCTCCGCGGGGGGCAGGGGGCCTTGAGAAAACCTCAGGTATCCACATAACAGCCAACACCTGGACTGAGAGGCGGGCTGACCCTGGGCTCCCTGAGCCCTCCTGCTGAGTCCTCACAAGCCACGTGATGGGAGGTCCACTGTGCAGGAGAGGGACCCAGGGCCCCTCGGGAGCCGGAAGGGGGAGCCCCGTGGGTCTCACAGTGCAGGTGTGGCACAGGTAGGGCTGGCAGGGACGCGGGGAACTGGACATGCAGGGGCTGCAGCTGCCCCCGACCCTGAAGGAGCTCCCACACACCAGCACGCAGGGACCACATGCCAACCACATGAGACACGCATAGAGGAGATGGGTGGACAGTTCACTGTGTGTGTGAGGGGCCTGCTGACCGGCACAGAGGAGGACGAGGATGGTCACAGTCCACCGTGTGCCTGAGGGAACAGCTGACCAGCAGAGGAAGATGAGGGTGGACACAGTGCACCGTGTGCTTGATGGGACCGCAGACCAGCAGAGAGGAGACCAGATACAATCGACCCTGTACCGCATAAGGGGTGCTGCCCACGTGGACAGAACAACAGTGTGAGGAGGAGGAAGCGGTCAGCGTGTTGCTGTGGTGGTTGTTCCAATCCTCAAAGTGGAACCAGCCCACAGCTGACTGGCCAGCAGGTTTTCAGAAGCAGCAAACCTCACAGAGGAGACTGCCTGTCCTTCACCGAGCAGCTGGGGGACTCAAACCACAGCCTCTTGGACTAAATGCACATGTGCCACCACTGGCCCCCCAGAGTTCCCCAAGCTGAGAAGGGGGAACACTCAATGAGCAGCTGAAAGTCTGTGGTGGTGGGGTGTCCCTGACGATACCCAAGTCACTGCTCTCCTGGCCCCAGCAGCAACCTAATCCAGGCATCGCCTGGGGCACAAACAGGGACAGTCGAACTCAGAACTAATCAATAACGAATAACAGAAATTTAACAGCACATCTATAAATTTACTGTCACTAAATGAAGAGAAGTGTGGCATCAGGATTGGTGGAAGATCTATTAACAATCTGCGTTATGCAGATGACACAACCCTGCTTGCTGAAACTGAGGAGGACCTCATGCACTTGCTGCAGAGGGTCAAGGACTGCAGCCTTCAGTATGGACTGAGGCTCAATGTCAAGAAGACAAAAGATTCTCACCACTGGACCAATTGGCAGCATCAGGATGGATGGCGAAGAGATTGAGATTGTTCACAGCTTCAGTTTGCTCGGCTCCAAGGTCAACACTCTTGGCACCAGCAGCCAGGAAATCAAAAAACGTATCATGATGGTAAAGTCTGCTGTTAGGGACCTCTCTAAAGTACTCAAGAGCAACAGTGTCTCTCTGGAGACTAAGGTCCGCCTGATACAGGCCATGGTCTTCCCAATCACTTGTTATGCATCAGAGAGTTGGACAATGACCAAGAAGGATAGAAGGAGAATTGATGCCTTTGAGCTGTGGTGCTGGAGAAGAGTATTGAGAGTACCATGGACTGCTAGGAAAACAAACAGATTCACCCTGGAGAGGGTTATACCAAGCTGTTCCTTGGAGGCAAGGATTCTGGGGCTTCATCTGACATACTTTGGGCATGTTGTAAGGAGGAACCGGTCCTTGGAGAGGGACATCATGCTGGGTAGAAAGAGGGACAGTGCAGGAGAGGAAGACCCTCTATGAGGTGGATTGATTCGGTGACTGAGGTAATCGGGATGGGTGTGTCAGAGGCAATGCGACTGGCACAGGATAGAGCAGGGTTTAGGGCTGTTGTACATAGGGTCACTATGAGTCACAAACGACTTGACGGCACATAACAACAACAACAAATGAAGAGATTCAGATACATTTAAAGTTCTCTTATTTAGAACAAGAAATCGCTTCAGCAATAGCAGATGAGGAAGTAATCGCTCAGGAGATTGCCCATCTTTTCACCGCAGAGTCGTGGGTGGACTTGAACCTTGTACCTTTGGGATGCCAGTGCAAGTCCTTACCACCAGGGCACCAGAGCTCCCTTGCTATAGTGAGAATATCCTTTTAAAACTAAAGTGAGTGAATAAATTTCAAGTACAACATATTGGAATGGGTTGTTAGAAATATATGTTTAAAAATAACTTCTTTTGCGCGAGAAATATCAGGTGGGAGCGTGGATGCGGAAGAAGAAAAGGACGGCGCTAAACGGGCAGTGAGAAGACTCAGTTCTATTAAGTAAACGTCCCAGGAAGCTTTTCCTTACTCCGCTCACAGCACATACAGGGTGGTGCTGGTACCGCCGTCACGTGCCGTAGGGGAGTGCCCTACATACTACGTGTTACGTATTCCATATATAAACACGGTCAGAGGCTTGTTGTTTAAGAAGCAGATGGCCAATCCTGCTTCCCAGTCTGTCTTCACCTGGGAGCTCTCCTAACACCTGTCCACCGCGGGGCAGCCTTACGGCTTCTGACACACCAGTGTCTCAGCTTCCAATGTCCCAGCTCTGGAGGAGGGTCCTGGTCTCTTCTGCTCCAGGACGTGTCCTCCTCTGACACACACTGTCCTGCAGCCCTTCAGGAAGCCAGTGGTGGCATCAGGATGGGGCCCTGGGTGGGTGTGAGCCTTCCAGCCAAGGTGCGTGGCGGGCACAGTGGGATAATGCCTCAGGTGAGGGCGATGTCTCGGCTGGATTCTAACAGGTGGTGCGAGGCTGTGGCACAGACTAAGAGGCCATCGGCCATCGTGCGAAGGGAGCAAGGGAACGCTGCGGGCTTTAAGATGAAGAAAGGTGCGGATCGGGGTTGCATCCTCTCTCCACACCTATTTCATCTGTATGCTGAGCCAGTTATTTGAGAAGCTGGACTCCACGAGGACTCTGGCATCAGGACTGCAGGAAGACCCCTCGATAACCTGCACTGTGCAGACGACTCAATTTTGCCAGAAGTGAAGAGACCCTGAAGCGCTGGCTGCAAAGATGAGACTGCAGCCTTCAACACATCTCAACATCGGGAAAGTAAAACCCCGCACCCCTGGACTAACAGGCCACTTCACGACAGATGAAGAAAGCAGTAAAACTGCCAATGACTTCATCTTGGATCCACAATCAATAAACTTGGTCCCAGCAGTCAGGAGACTATTACACCAGGAAAGTCTGCTGTCAGGGTCCTCTCTAAATTACTGAGGAGTAATGATGTCAGTTTGAGGACTAAGGCTTTTCATTCACTTGCTAGGAATCTGAGAGCCGGACAAGGATTAAGGATTTGATTAAGACTTGACGTCTTTGCACTGTTGTGTTAGAGAAGGGTACAAACTATTCCATGGAGAACAAATCAAAGTGTGGAGAAGGTGCGGCCTGAGTGCTCCCTGAAGGCAAAGATGATAAAACTTTGCCTCATGTCCTCTGGGCATGTTGCCAGGAGAGGCTATTACATCATGCCTGGACAGGTGAGGGGTCAGCAAGAGACAGGAAGACGCTCAACCAGATGGACTGACACTGTGACTGCAGCAATGGTCTCCAATGTGCCAGAAACTGAGTTTGGCACCGGGCTGGCACAGACAGGGCAGGGTTCAGACCTGTAGTTCATGGGGTCACTCACGACGGGTCGTGGTTGAAGGCACCTAACAACAGTAAAGAGACGGGCACTCTGGTGGCACAGCTGGTGGGAGGTACACTCCTAACCCAAAGGCCGCGCCTCTCCGGCGGTTCAAAGCCACAAGCAGCTCTGGAGAAAGGTGGGCAATCTCCTTGCATGCACTTCACAGCTCCAGAAATCTGCTGGAGGGTCAGCGGTCAGTGAGTTACAACCCAGCAGTATTGAATAAAGAGGATTGTAAATACAAAAGCTATCACTGTGCATTTGATTTGACTTATAAATTCTCTCTTCCCCACACAACCGAAAAGACAAATGCATCAAAATGATAATCCGTGTTAACGAAGAAGGTATAAAGATATACTTAGTGAAAAGAACAATATAAAGAGTATGAAGATCTGTGGGAGGAGAGGATCTGTTGGAACTAAGCTCGTATTAATTAGACTAGACTACTATTGCAGGGAAAACCAGCCGATGCCTTTCACCTGAAGTGCTGGGGAAGCGCGCCGACGCCCCATGGACTGACTAAAAGGCAGGTATGTCTTAGAAAAGCAGCCAGACTGTGCCCTGGAGAGGTGGCAAAGCTTCGCCTCCACACCTGAGCATGATGTTAGGAGAAGCTACTCCCTGAGAGGGACATCATGCTTGGAGAGGTGGAGGACTGGAGAAAGAGAGGAAGCCCCTGGACCAGGTGGACGGACACAGTGACTGCAGCAAAGGCTGTGAGTACGTCAGAAATGATGGGTACGGCACAGGAGAGGGTCAGATCTGTTGTTCATAAAGTTGTACTCGACTCAACAGCTCCTAACAACAGTTACCACACTGGGAGCTCTAGTGGCTCAGAGGTAAGAAGGTGCACTGCCAACCCAAAGGCACAGGGTTCAAATTCACTAGCTGCTCTGTGCAAGGAAAATGGGCCATCTCTTTCCATGTGATTAGCTGCCTCAGAAAGCCCATCGAATGGTCAGTACCGAGTCAGCGGCAAATCAACAGCACACACAACCCCACCACGGTCACACTCACGCACAGAGGTTTACACTCTGCAGGCCCAGGAGGGCGCGGCACGACCACAGCTTTAACTCTGGACCTGGGAGGAACCCCAGCACAGAGCAGACACTTGCACAGTGAGTGAGTGAATGAGCACAGGAAGGCGTGAACAAATCTCCCTGTGGCCAG